CCGACATGGGCGCGGCAGCGCTATGCCAACCCTCGCACCGGGGCCGTCGGTGGAGTTCCTTAGATGGCCACGAAACGTGTCAGGGGTGTGCCGAAATTGGTGCAGCGACGCCGTGCGAAGCCTCCAACTGGGGCCTTAGGTGGAACTCCCGATGGGGCCACGAAGCGTGTGACGGGTGTACCAAAATAGGCGCGGCGGCGCCGTGCGAACCCTCCCACTGGGGCCTTCGGTGGAGCTCTTTGTGTGGGCACGAAACGCGCACGGAGTGTGCCGACAAAGGGCGCGGCGGCGCCATGCGAACCCTCCCACTGGGGTGTTCGGTGGAGCCCCCTATGTGTCCACGAAACATGTAACGTGTGAGTGGTGTGCCAACATGGGCGCGGCGGCGTTATGCGAACCCTCTCATTGGGGCCTTCGGACGAGCTCCCTGTGGCCACGGAGCGTGTGAGGAGTGTGCCGACATTGGTGCGGCGGCGCCATGCGAACCCTCCCAGTAGGGTTTTCGGCGGAACTTCCTATGGGGCCACGAATATCATGTGAGAGGCGTTCGTTCCGAAATGGGTGCAACGGCGCCGTTCGAACCCTCCCGTTGGGGTCTTCGAGGGAGCTTCGCGGGGCCACGGAAAGTGAAAGGGGCGTGCCGACATGGGCGCGGCGGCGCCACGCGAACCCGCCCAGTGGGGCCTTCGGTGGTGCACTCAATGGGGCCACGGCACGTGTGAGAGGTGTGCCGAAATGTCTGCGGCGTCGCCATGCGACCCCTCCCGCTGGGGCCTTCGGTGAAGTTCCCTGTAGGGCCACGGAACGTGTGAGGGGTATACCGACATGTGACTGATGGTGGCGAGAGTGCTGATGCTGATGTCGACGAGGCTGACGATGGTGATGGCAAGGACGACGGTGCGGGTGGTGCTGATGCTGCTGGCGCGCACGCTGACGATGATGCTGACGCTCCTGATGGTGGCCACCGGTTAACGCTCACGACGACGACGCTGATGATGGTGATGACGACCGGCAGTTGGACAGACCGACCTCGCACGATGTCACATCTCGCTGCTCATCCCAGCGCCGACGGCTCTCCTCCTCGTCGGCGTCGGGCTTGCCACGCGGAGCCAGCAGCGCTGGCCCAGGGGGCGGAGGCGTGACGGCGGCAGCGGCCTCCGCACAAGCCCGTTCCAGCACAAGCCGCCGCTGAGAGTAGTACTCCGCGCCGCCAGGCGGCCATGCCTGCTGGCCACATGGCTTAGCGGCCATACTGGCGAAGCGGCTGGATGGCTAAGCGGCCACGCTTCGTGAGCCTCCTCGCGAAGCGGCCATGCTGGCCAAATGGCGGAGGTTGGCCAGGCTGCCGTTGCCGAACCTTCCGTACGTCTCGAAGGCGAGGGCCGAGACTCGGCTGCCGTACCGCGCGGGCTTCTCGCCCTCCCGCTTGCCGCTGCAACTGAGGCCCCTGATGCTCCATGGCCGCCGTCGGCGTTCCAGACGCTGCGCGGGCGTCGCACCGTCTCGTCGAAGAAATACGACACGAGGCCTCCTGTCACAGACATGACAGCGTCCAAGATTGCCTCGGTTACGACCCCGTCGTGGGTGACTCGGTAGACAGGCTGGGGACATCACGCTACGCGTCTGCGAAGCACCCGCTCTTGACGAACAGCTGCAACAGAGTTTCCAGCAAGGACCCGTGGGGACGCTTGCGGGCGGGTCCGTGCTGGTGCACCAACGGATTGTCCAGCTGGCTGAGGCACGGATCAACTCCCTTTCCCGCTCGGGGCATCCGGAATACGGCTGAGGGACGGGCGTCCACGATGCCGAGGCGTAGCAGGCTGGAGCGCCATGCGGAAGTGGTCATCATCTGTGCACTCGGCTTCGGACCGCCGCGGCTGTGCCCACATCTTACCAGAACGCGGCACTCCGCGGGAAACGAAGACCTCGCGCAGGAAGTCGGTCTTCGTAAACTGGAAGGTGACTGTCGCCCGCAGCGCCTCGAGTGCACGGAGCACGCGGCTGCGCAACGGGGAGCCTTGTCCAGACCCGGCCAGGAAAACTGACGGGTGGAATGTTGTATCATCGCGCCAAGGACCAGCTTCGTACTCCACACGTGCGGTCGCTGTGAAGGCGACGGCGCCGGCAGAAATGTCGACCTCCGCGCCAGCTGCCTGCAACGGGGCGGCAGCGGCGGCGCGTGCGTGGGTTTCAGCCTGGTCGCCTCGCGCGGAGCGCCCTAGCTCCGCGCAGATTGTCTGGATCTTAGTCCGGGTGCTCACCGAAATGGCCAAGAAAGCCGCAACTACGGCTTCGAATGAAGCTTTTCCATTCCGATCGATCTTCGGATGAAGCTTTTACCCGACAGCGTTGTATGGTTGCGGCAGCTGGGTCCTGGGTAGTGACAGCGGGACGAGATTCAAAACTGAGAGGGGCACAACTCAAAACACATGGTCCGGGTTCTGTTGGGGCGGGGGCGCGTGTACAAGCAGGACGGGGACGTGGGGACATGGGTGGATTGGGTACAGCGCGTGGCAACGGAGGCACGCAACTTGATGGAGAAACACCACGTACCCAGCTGGACAGCTGAGCGCCGATCCTGGCTGCAGAATTGGAACGAAAGACTCAACGGCATGAGCTACGACCGGTGGGCCCGGCGAGTCCACGACTGGATCTTTGACGGGTGGAGAGCCCGCGGGCGCCCCTCCCTGAGCCCGCAAGGGCACGTAGCCGCGCGCGCGGGCAGCTCGTTCTCACCGCCCGTTCCGTTCCGTGCCGTACACTCAGGGCCGGAAGCCTGACCCAAGGGACCCAGCAGCTGCAGCCGCGCCCACGCATGGTCATCGATGCCTCTTGAAACCACAGCCGTGACAGCAGTGCTCATGGCCGTCGCGAGGAGCTCCAGCAGCGGGCTCAGGTCGCTGGCAGTGAGGACGCGGATGCCATAAGACAAGCCCTCCTTCATGCACTTGCTCATGAGCCAGCATGCCACGCTCACGCCGGCACGCGTCGGCAGAGCCCTCGAGAAAGGTCCTCAAGCGCTGGCCCAGCTGCGCGGCCTCCCGCCAACGTTCGGAAGCAAATGGGGAGGCAAACGGGGCGGGGCCCAGGAACGTGTGGTAGGACTCTTTCGCGGCAGTGATCATGACCTTGATGCCGCCGAAGGCCCATGGGATATCACCAACGATTCGCCGATGCACAGCGGGAATGCCGCCAAGTTCAAGACGATCGCAGCCCCGGCACCCCACATCTCTGACGTGGTTGGCTTCAGCTCGTGTCATGCCTGGCGCAGCGCTTGGACCAACTGTGGCCATGCCGCGGCAAGCTGGGAGAACTTCCCAATGAGGTACCTGTCGTCCTGGTACGCGGGTTAGGGGTGCTGCGGGCGTCCGCGGTCGCCTCCGCCGCGAACCGCAACGACTGGCGCAACGAGCAGCAGACAAGAACCAGGAACAAACTAAGACCTTGGAAGCCTCCCCAGAATGTGATTACGTGCTCCCACTCTCCACGCAAACGCTGCCCGAAGGTCGCCGCCCACGTCTGCAACGCTATCAGAAGGATCATGTTGCCGTCAAGCGTGCCGACACGCAACTGGGCAGGCTCCAGCTTCCGCTACGTAGACCTCGTCGAAGCACTCGTCGAGGCCTACGGACTCGGCAAACCCCACCAAAGCTTCGAGAGCCATAGGCCGGAGCTTCCTGCCAGTCGGAGTGCATTTGCGGGCCCCTTGGTCCACAGCGACGGCGACACCGCAGTCCACAGCAGGATCGTGGGAGCACATGCTCGGCCGCTGATCCACATGCAGCCGCCACGCCATTGCGGACTCTCGGGACGAGTGCAAGAATCCCGTTCCTGATTCCGTTGGGGTCAGGCTCCGCCGAGTAGCTCAACAGGGCAATGCGGCGCCTGATCGATGCTGCCCTCGGGGTGCGGACAGGCAGCGCCGCGGATTTCAATAGGGAACCCACAAAAGGACGTACGCGCCCAACCGTGTACATGAACACGGCCCCCACATCCGCGACACCAGACACCTGATACGAGCGTTCGCGCAATGCGTGCCTCTCGAAACCAACGCGGATTCATGTACGTGTACGTCCTTTTTTTCGCTCCCGATTCAACCTGTCAAGGCTGATGTGGGGCGCGAGGCCATCCTTCCGCCGGTGCCAGCGCGGCCAACAGTGACTTCAGCTGCTCCGAGGTGGTCTCGTCCTGGAGACCTGCCCTGGCAGAATGCTTTTGGCCGCCGCAGGGCCTCCGTCCTTCACTTTCGATGCGACGACGAGGACAGAAGGAGGAGAGGAGGAGAGGAGAGAAGCGGGAGCACGGGGCGCTTCTGATTCAGAACGAGGACCCAACACCACAGGATGGCTGGGATGAACAGAACAACTGCAGTGGGATCGTGTATTCTTCGTGAGGGCCAGCTTTCGGCGGCAAGCGAGGGCACGAATGCAGAGTGAAAACCTAAAGAGCGCTAAGAGCGTTGCTGCTCTTTGGGGGGGGCGGTATTCGACGCAGCTCCGAGACTCTCGAGCGTGGCCCTCGCTCCGGCAGACAATGCAGCGCGCGCCGAGGCGCGGGCGCCAAGAGGCACCCCGACGCCATGCGAGAATCGGGCCGCATTGGGTCGTGGGAGCGTCGGAGTCGAACCCGATCGTGGGACGCAGGAGGAGACACTGGTGCTACGTGTCCTCCTCGGAGGCGTGCGCCGAAACCCGAGCATGTAGTACATCACTCTTGCGGCATGTCTTTTCCTGAGCGGCATGGCCAGAAAGCGCCGGCCACGGAGCGAATACTGGAAGATCTCTCGGCGCGCGCGTCGCCCCTGGCGGGGCGACGCACACACAGACACACACAGACACACACACACACACTCTCACAGTATCATTAGTACATTGGGGTAACGCCGAGATCGGGCCGCTCGAAATCGAAGACCGACTTCGACCTGGATTGATCCGATCCACATGGGCCCTGGCAGACGGGGTCTAACCACGGCGGCGAGGCCCGTCGGCGGCGGGTGGAACCGATCCTCGGCGAAGGCCCACGGCTTGGGCGCGTAGCAGTGGAGCGGTCTGAAGCCGGCAGACTCCAGGGCGCTCTGCAGCGAGGTGGTGCCAGTCTTCGTCGGAGGAGGGCCAGTCGAGACAACGGCGGCCCTCCCTGGCGACTTCTCGCCGCCACTGCTAGATCCACCTCGAAAAACGGGCCAAGATAGACCCCAGGGCAAATCTTGAACGGACTTGGGCCAGACGGCAGAGCTGACGTTGTCTCAACTGGCCCTCCTCCGACTTCGGTAGCCCCAGCACGAACACAGGGGGCACCTCGGCAAGGCTGGCACCGCGCTCCCACAAGACGAAGGCAAGATGGAGACAACATAAGATCGAAATGTATAGTGAAGGGGATGGATCGGGCGCCGCTGCCGCGTCGGAGCGTTCTGGAAAGCTCTGGGAGCATTCCGGAACGCTCCGGTGCGGTTTATCTTCATCCTAGGCCTGCTTGATCCCATCCCACTTGCCACTTCTCATACTTCCTTCCCCCTCCTCCCTGCCTCCATCCTGTTCTCCATTCCCCACACCCATTCGAAGGAGACTCTTTGTGCGTGAACGATGTCCGGTCAAACAATGTCACTCTGACATATGGCTCACAATGGTTGTGAACGTCCCCGATGCTGGTGCAACCGCCAAGCCCGCCTCCATCGAGTTCGAACGCATGCTGGTGTGGACACGGCACGGTCCCGCCGAGGGGCGGTGGCGGCAACACCCCCCTTCAGGACTCCCTCGCCTGCCTCCACAGCAACTCTGGAACAACCCGCACAACGCTCGCACAGCTGAATCGGTCGTGCCACCACCCAACTCCACGATCCGCCTCGAATGGGCCTGTCACATGGTCATCCTCCGTATCTTCCTCCTCCTCCTCCTCCTCATCATCATCATCACCAACCCTCTCCTCACAATCGTTCACCTCCGCCCAATCATCTCCTCACATCTCCCACTTCCCTCCTCCTCCTCCTCCTCCTTCTCTTCCTCTTCCTCTTCCTCCTGTTCCTGTTCCTGTTATTGCCCCTCCTCCTCCTCCTCGTCCTCTTTCTCTTCCTTCTGGTCCTCCTCCTCCTCCTCATCTGCCCTCCCATCCTCCTCTCCATCTCTCTCTTCCCCCGTCTCTTCATCTGGCCCGTCCCTGTTCCACTTCCGTGATTCCAGCTCATCCCCCTGCCCCTCCCCCTCCGCCTCTCCACCCGCTCACCCCATTCTCCCTCTTCCGCCTCCTCCTCCTCCTCCTCCTCCTCATCCTCCTCCCCCTCCCCCTCCTCCCCCATTTTCCCCCCTTTCCTCGCCATTCCTCTCTCCTTCCCTCTCCCCCTCTCTCCCCCCCGGCCGCACCCCTCGCACGCCCCTGCCCAGCCGCCTCTCCGCCTCCCAGTCTGCCTGCGCCCTCCGCCGTCTCCGCCCTCCGCCTGGGCATGCAGCGACAGGGGCGGGGGAGGCGAGGAGGACCCGTGGCACTCATCACTGCACCGACCTTGCAAACGTGCTGCAGCGGATCTTTGGCGTGGGCGGATTTCTGTTAATGCAAGACCCCGAAACGGCGAGCGAAAAACGAAGTGCATGTCACGTGGTCTTTTTGTTATTCTTCATTCCTGGCCAAAACAAATCCGCACGCAATTCACTTCGAAATTGGAAACGAAATTCTCCAGGACAAAATCCAAACGAACGAAATCCGCTCTGCGATGTTGGCGCCATGACACTTACCCTTCACTCAAACCAAAAAACATAAGCATAAGCTTCCGACGGTCCGAGCAGATTTCCTGGATCTGCGCAGAAATCCGCGCGGACCGTAGAACATTGAACCACATGCCCTGATGATCACAGGGTGGGGGTAGTAAAGTTCGGGGTCCAGGGGGGTAATCCTGGTTTCGCCCCGACAACTCGTACGAACGATGATATGTCAGCCTGGTATATCGATAACCACACGTTCGTACCACACAGTCGCGACTTGGAGAAAGCTCGAATTGTGAATCCAATGGCCCTGCCACACGTTCGTAACTTGGGAAACTGAAACACTAAAAATCCCATAGCCTTGCCACAAGATCGAGACTCGGGAAAGCTTAAGTGGTTAGAACCCCATGGCTCTGCCACACGTTCGTGAATGGGAAAACATAAATAATCATCATCTCACGACCTTACCACACATTCATAACGTGGGAAAGCTGTAATTGTGACAATCACATAGCCCTGCCACACGTTCGTGAGTCAGGAAAGCAGACATGGTGAGAGCTCAAAATCCCTGCCACACGCTCGTGGTAGCTTTGCTATACAACATAAGAGGATAGCAACTTCGATTCGCATTTCCCCGGCAGTCGTGAAGTTCGGCCTCGCCGCCCCTTTCCCCCGACCAATTCAACTTTCAAGGGTAAAGGGGGGTCCCTTTATAATTCGGGGTGCGCTGTTATGTTTATGCCGCTATTTCTCCTTCGGTCATAACAAGGGAGATGTCGACCCCTATCCTCAGCTCCGTCGGGTTGTCGAATGGACCGCAAACTTGGGGCCCAACCTCGGGATACATGACAATGGGGCGTCCATGCTCGATAGGGGTGCGTCCGGATAGCCGTCCACGAATGTATCCCCGAGATCCCGTGCATGGACATTATATTCGAACCCTGTGGCCCAAAATGCCCCCCCAGACCCCCCGAAATTAATGTTGATGGCGCGGCGACGAGGGGGGCGTGAGTGACAGAAATATTACAACCCCAAAGCACCGCCTTTACTGAGACCAACATTGATGTCGGGGGCGCGGGGGTGTTTAGAATCTCCCTCGAGCGTGTATGGGTTCGAATAGATTGTCCATCTACTGTCCCCCCCCTTCCTGAGCGGCTTGAATTCTCGTAGACAAGTAAGGGCTTGGGGGCGAGAGCTCGCAATGCGAAAGCAGAGGCACGGCGCGCGCGCGCGGCCGAGGGAGGGCGCCGAAAAGGCCTTGATGGGCCTGTTTTCCACCACCACCCCAATAAGTTGGAGGGGGAAAGGAGGAGGAGGACGAGGAGGAGGAGGACGAGGAGGAGGAGGAGCAGGAGGAGGACCCCTCCCCCTCCACCTCATGGCAGTGGTGGTGGAGAACAGGCCCATCAGACCTGCCGCCAGCAGCCGCACTGCCGAGCAAGGGCATCGGGTCGGACGAAGGACAGGGTGAAGCACAGGGAGGGTCCACGGTCCACGATTTCAGCGCACGTGTAGCTGACCCTTCCGGCGCCGAAGAGGCGCCGGTGCATCGAGGACGGCGCCCGGCGGCGGGGCCGAGCCCAGATGCATGCACCAGGCCTCGTGCATCCCCCCCTTCGCCCGATCCGAGGAGGCGGTGGGCGCAGCTTCCACGGCGCCCCGGGCCCCCATGAGCAGGCTCAGGAGGTCCAGGGCGCCAGAAGTTCGAGAGAAGAGTCCCTCGCCGCCGCGCTCTCGCGCGAGGCCGACCCGCCGAGGCGACGAGGGGGGGGGACCCCAGGGCGGGCAATTCCAGACAGGCATCCGACCCAGCCTGGACTGCCGAGAAGGCAGCCCAGGCGGCCAGAAGCCATCCCCGCGGGGACGACACCGGAGGAGGAGGAGGAGGAGGAGGAGGAGGAGGAGGAGGAGGAGGGCGACGGGATCTGGGGAGGGCTTCTCACGCCGGGCCGATTGTTTGCTTGATAGTCCTGGCGCACCGCGAGGGGCCCTAATTACGTGCTCCCTCCGTGCTGAACTGCCATCTCTCCCCCTCCTCTCGGCCACGACAGCCACACCTCGGCCAACCCTGGGCGGTCCCGCATGTCTGGCCTGGGCGGAGTCGCGGCCATCTGGCCTGCGCCCTGGGCGGGATCAGTCGGAACCGAATCGGGGCATCGGATCGGAACGTGCGTCGGGTCGGGCTACATTGGCACGGAGCCGAGACCGAGCCAGACCGTCTGCGCCAGAATGCACACCTGCACCCTGCAGGCAGACAGGCCGCGTCGGATCGCTGGAAGACGGACCGAGTCGGACCGAAGTGGACCGTGCTGGGGAGCCGACCCGCGGCTCCTCCTGCCAGCCCCCCCAGCAGGCCCTGCAGAAGAACACGCCCTCGAACTTCCTCTGCCCGAACCACCCCTCGTCGGCCTGCAGGTCGCAGCCGGCGCACCTGGTGCCAGGAGGAGCAGCAGCGGCGTGAGCAGCAGGAGGGCCAGCAGGACGAGCCAAGACCACCGACGCCGTGTTTTTTTTCACAGCGTTTCGACCGTGGTGAGGACCCGAGTGGCCGAACAGAAAAACACTACAACTGCGACCAAATATCAGGATCATAGACATGGCGATAATAATAACGATAACATTCGAAAGCGTACTAATGACACGTCCGTCGTGATTGTTTTGTGACGCGACAGCTCTCCCAAAACAACTCTGGGGGGAGGCAACGAGCTAGGCTCCTGAAGGCTTCCCTCCCGCTGTCTGTGGGGAGGGGCGATCGAGGAGGAGGAGGAGGACGAGCAGGAGGAGGAGGAGGAGGAGGAGGAGGGGAGGAGGGGGAGGAAGAAGTGAAGGAGAAGTTAGGGAGGATGCAGAGCGTCGCCAAAGAACGGACCCTTACCATCCCTAGACGCTGTTCCTGGGGAGGAAGTCCTGGGCAAGCTGCATCCTTGTCACCATGGCTGGATTAGGTGGTTCGTCGTTTCTGGCCGACGTTCCTTCCGCCTGGGGCCGAGCCGGTATATCAAGTATCGGCGTTCGCTCATAAAGAGATCGTTATCAGCGCTCTCCCTGGCGGCCCAAGAGCCTGGCAGGTGGCGGTGCGGTGTCGATCCCCAGAGGGCCGAGCTTCCCCCAAGGTGGCTTGGGGTGGCGTCCGCTGGCACCCAGGGCCTACAACGTGCGTCGTCTTCTTGCGGTCCCGAGGCCCGGTAAGGGCCTTGAAAGGCCCAGAGCGAGGAACAAAACAATGTAACATGTTATTTCGGGACGCCGGATGTCTGGATCTTGATTCTTGCGCTGTGAGTCACCCCCTCGAATTCGGTACGCACTTTGAGGGCATACGCGACCGCCTCAGCTTTGGGTCGGACATGTCCTCCTACAGGCGGATTTTCGACGCAAAATGAAACATAGTAAACAAATGACCAACAACAGCCAAAAATAGTCGAAATATCGTCCCAAAACTATTTTCGTACCACTTTTGAAAATTCCTCCTGCTGAAGGACAGGCCCGACTTAACCCCAGCTCACGGTGGTAGGGGCCGTCCTCCCCCCGAGCGAAGGGGTCCAGAGGCTGCAGCAGGAGCCATTACAGGCCAAAAGGGCCCCTCCACGTCAGTACCGTCCTGGGGCTCCGGCTCTGGTCGCCCTCCTGCTGGGCGACGCTCGATAATGAATGCTGATGGGCGCGTGTAAGGAGATGCCTGCAGCGGGGATGGAAGGACAGAACCCCCTTCAGTAACACGTGGTTTAGTGAACTCAGAACGAGTGTTAGCGCTCACGTGTGTTTGTCCACGGAGGCCGCTCCATACGACGCGGGTGATGCAAGGATCTACGGGTAGGGCTGTACGGTGTAACCACACATAGTCACATAGGTCTAACATACGTCCTGAGGAACATCGAAAGAAGATGCCTGCAATCTAGGTTACCCACATTCGCGCCTCGCGCCCCACGATGCGCGACGAGCGGTTATCTTATCGCCCTCGCGCCGCCGCCCTGGAGAGGGGCGCCTCTCCAACCCAAGCCACAATGCGCGAAGCGCGATTATTTTCGCGCCCCTCGGAGTGACCCAGGCAGTCGGCCACACGCAAGAGTGACCTCGGGACCACGGGGAGAGTGACCTGAGGTGCGCGGCTCCAGCGGGGCGCGTGGGTGGGTGTGGGGGGGGAAGGGGGGGGGGCAATCCGAGCGCGCAGGCCGCTGCCATCACATTCCGCGATCGGAGGGCCCCAATGATGGGTCGCTCCGGCGTGGGCCCTCACTGGGGAAACCAAAAGGTACCGATACAGCTACTCACCGGACCTGTCCTGGGGTGCGTTCTGACCAGAATTTCGAGGCGAATCCAGCGGTGACGACGAGGGCCTCCGAGGAGGCCCATAAAAAAGGAAAACGAGGAAAGTGTATAGAGGTATGGGTGCCCCTTCCTCCTCTAACGCACAAAGCAAGGGCCTCCCAAACGCGCAGCCGACGCAAGGCGCGCGCGCGGGCCCCAGCGGGTCCGCGCCGTCCCGGCTGCGCGGGGCCGGACGTCCCGGGCGGGTTTTGCTCACCCGCCGCCGAGGGGCCGGGGGCCGGCAGCTCCTCCTCGCAGGAGGGAAAGGGCGCGCGTGCGCGCGCGCCCTCGCCCCGCTCCCGAGAGGGGGGGGGGGCAAGGGGGGCGGAGAGCAGGAGGGCGAGCAGGAGGAGGAGGAGAGGAGGGAGGAGGAGGAGGAGGGAGGAGGAGGAGGAGGAGGAGGGAGGAGGAGGAGGAGGAGGAGGCAGGAGGAGGAGGAGGAGGGGGAGGAGGAGGAAGAGGGGGAGGAGAGGAGGAGAAGGAAGAAGAGGAGGAGAAGGAGCAAGAGGAGGAGGAGGAGGAGGAGGAGGAAGAGAAGGAAAAGGAACAGGAGGAGGAGGAGGAGAGGAGGAGGAGGAAAGGAGGAGGAGGAGGAAGAGGAGGAGGAGGAGGAGGAGGAGGAGGAGGAGGAGAGGAGGAGAGGAGGAGGAGGAGGAGGAAGGGAGGAGTAGGAGTAGGAGTAGGAGTAGGAGTCAAGCTAGCCAGCTCGAGCGAGTCAAGCATGGCATGCCCAGTCCCACCCGCCCTCCCACAACATAAGAAGCAAAGCTGGCACAACTGGGGGCCGAAGTCACACCGGCCAGCCGGTTTGGTACAGCTGATGCGGCCGCGATGGCGGTTGCCGACGGGAACTGGCGAGCGCGTGTTGAATGCCGCGCACGCATTGCCAGACGAGTCGAGAATGGCCCGGTACACCGCAGGAAGCCAGAGGTGGCCGGAGGAAGCCCGACGGTCTGACAGGACACCCCAAAGCATTTTTGTGAAAAAGCATTGGGTTTTTGATGTTTTTATGTTGAAATGCTTGCAAACACACGGTGTTCGGTAGGATTCTGACATGAACGCGCGCGTGTGCTCTTTGTGGTATTTTTTGCAATGGATTATCGCCGTGGACGACAGGACGTCCATGTCGAGAGGAAAAAATAAGAAAAATGTTGATTTTGTATTGTTTTTTACAGGTTAGGATGGGACCACCCGGATGCGGCCCCTATCTGCCGGCCTGAGGGGGGAGTAGGAGTATATTCTAATAAGGAATAAGGATAGGAGTAGGAGTAGGAGTAGGAGTCAAGCTAGCCAGCTCGAGCGAGTCAAGCATGGCATGCCCAGTCCCACCCGCCCTCCCACAACATAAGAAGCAAAGCTGGCACAACTGGGGGCCGAAGTCACACCGGCCAGCCGGTTTGGTACAGCTGATGCGGCCGCGATGGCGGTTGCCGACGGGAACTGGCGAGCGCGTGTTGAATGCCGCGCACGCATTGCCAGACGAGTCGAGAATGGCCCGGTACACCGCAGGAAGCCAGAGGTGGCCGGAGGAAGCCCGACGGTCTGACAGGACACCCCAAGGGGGCCCAGGAGGCCCCAAGAGGCAGGAGTAGTAGTACCAGTGGTAGTGGTGTTGGTAGTGGTAGTGGTAGTAGTAGTACCATGTCACCCCTTCGCGCGGGGTGTGCGCCGCGTCCCATTCCTGCCACGCATTTTGCGACGTGACGACAGCACGACCATGTTGACAAGAAAAACAAAACTGTGTATTGTCTTTTGCAGATTAGAATGGGACGGATTGGATGGGCGGGCGCGGGGTGTGCGCCGCGTCCCATTCCTGCCATGCATTTTGCGACGTGGACGACAGGACGTCCATGCGACGGTGCCAATGACGGCGACGACTCTAGAAAGATTTGAGCATGCGCTCGCGGCGACGCGCGCGCATGTCGCCCGCGTGGTATTTTTGGCACAGGATTCGCGGCCTGGGTGCATGACAGAGCATCGCGAGTGCACCGCGCGATGGCGCGAAATCGCTGGATTTGACAGAATTCTTAAGATTCCTATGGTTTTCCTATGATTTCAGCAAGAGAGCCCGGGCAGGAAATTTGTAGATTTTTGTGTGAAAAAAAGCATTTGGTTTTTGATGTTTTTATGTTGAAATGCTTGCAAACACACGGTGTTCGGTAGGATTCTGACATGAACGCGCGCGTGTGCTCTTTGTGGTATTTTTTGCAATGGATTATCGCCGTGGACGACAGGACGTCCATGTCGAGAGGAAAAAATAAGAAAAATGTTGATTTTGTATTGTTTTTTACAGGTTAGGATGGGACCACCCGGATGCGGCCCCTATCGGCCGGCCTGAGGGGGGAGTAGGAGTATATTCTAATAGGGAACAAGGATAAGAGTAGGAGGAGGAGGAGAAGGAGGATGAGGATGAGGATGAGGATGAGGATGAGGGGAGAAGGAGGAGGAGGAACCTCCTCCTCCTCCTCCTCATCCTCCTTCTCCTTTTTTCCCTCCTCCTCCTCTCCTCCTCCTCTCTTCCTCCTCCTCCTCCTCCTCCTCCTCCTCCTCCTCCTCCTCCTCCTCCTGTTCCTACTCCTTCCCCCCTCCTCCCCCTCCTTCCTCCTTTTCCTCCTACTCTCTTCTCGTCGTCGTCGTCGTCGTCCTCCTCCTCCTCCCTCCCTCCTCCTCCTCTCCTCCTCCTCCTCCTCCTCCTCCTCCTCCTCCTCCTCCTCCTCCTCCTCCTCCTCTCCTGCTCCTGCTCCTTTTCCTCCTAGAAGCGCTGGCGGCAGGAGCGGCAAGCGCAGCGGCGGCGACGGCTGCGTCCACGGCCATGCCGTGGGTCGCCGCTCGGAAATACGGAGTTCGGCAGTCGCGCCGAGCGCGGACGCGCGCATCCTGGTGCGAGACGTCCCGACTCGCAAACAAAGATGGGCACTGGCTATGGAGAGCACGCGGCAGGAACGGCTAGCGCTGCAGCGGCGACTGCTTCATCCACGGCCATGCCGTGGGTCGCCGCTCGGACATATGGAGATATACCGTTACGCCCAACGCGGGCGCGGGTGAACCCCGCCCAGCCCAGCTCCTCCCGCCGCCCCCACCCTGATCAACGAAGACAGGGTACGTGTCCGCACGGACGGCTAGGCCACGGAGCCAGCACGCAGGGGCAGCCTCTGCGCCAACGAGGGCGGAGGGGAGGAGCGCGTCAGATTTCTGGTAATCCTCGTGGTCGAGATTGGCGGGGCAGAGCCAGATCCTGCGCGTCAGTGTCCCGGATGGCGCGCCGCATCTCGGGCACGCCGCCTCGGCCTGGTAGCCCGCGTTGGCGAGCCTCTCTCTCGGCCACTGCGCCCCCGCGACCACGCGCAGGTCGAGGGCCCACTGGTCGAACTGGCCCTTGCGCGTGAACCTCTGCATCTCGTCGGTGATGGCGCATGCGTCGGCACCGCCTCGCTGGAGGCCCTCGCCGTCGAGGTGCTTCGCGGCGTCGTTCCAAGAGCCAGTCTCGACTGTCTGGCAGAACTCCAGGGCCAGCTGCGACGGGTCGATCTCTTCGCGGCGCTGCCCCCAGTCACCGCAGCCTTTGCGAGGTGGGAGCCACGTCTGCTCAGCCTGCTCACCTTCGCGGGGCTGGCGGGGCCACTCGCAGGGAGTCGGGCAGTCCCACCCAGCGCCCGCGCGGATGGCCTGGACGGCAGATAGGGCCAACCACCTTGCGCCATCGCTTGTTGCCGTAGCCGATGTCTTCGCAAAGATGAGCCGACAGGCGCGGGCGATGCGCTCGCGGTGATTCGGGTTGGCGAACCAGGGGGAGAGCCGCTCCAGGATGGTCTGCCCGCGGAGCTCGATGCCAGGGTCCTTGTCGCCGAGGAGCACGGCGAGCGCGGTGGTGAGGCACCTGCCAGGTACCTTGCCC